GACTTTTCATACCTTTTCAGGCTGATTCCGGTTCAAGTAGAGGAACTGAGGTAGCTCCCTCCCTTATTTCTGATGCCATTTTACCCTCTGGCCGTTTACCACAAAGCCTTGTCCATCTTTTCCTTTCAAAACCACGGCTCCATAGGGTCTTACTTCAAGAATCGTGAACGGACCGGACCACCTAGACCTCAGATTCCCAGGGAACAGCTTGAGTCTTGAGTTAAACAACAGAACTTGGTCCCCTTCTTTGAACTCTCTCTTGTGTATCGCCTTGGTTCTTTCTTTGTAGATCTTAGAGCTCTCGAAAGCATCAAACCGGATCTCCTCAAGCTCATGAAGCTGTAAAACCCTCTTCTCTTGTGAGGTCTTGATGTCAAAGTTCAGAAGTTTCACTGCCCACAAGGCTTTGTATTCCAACTCAACCGGTAGATGACAGCTCTTCCCATAGAGCAAGTTAAACGGTGAGGTTCCAATGGGGGTTTTGTAGGCGGTTCTGTAAGCCCACAGAGCATCGTCAAGTTTCTTGCTCCAATCCTTCCTGGATGAGTTCACGGTCCTTTCCAAAATGGCCTTTATCTGACGGTTGGAAACCTCCACTTGGCCGCTGGTTTGCGGATGATAAGGGGTGGCCACCTTGTGCTTTACTCCGTGCTTCTTCAAAAGACTCTCAAGAGTCTTGTTGATGAAATGGCTTCCCCCATCACTGATGACTACTCTTGGTACTCCAAACCGTGGGAAGATGATACTCTTGAAGAGTTTTACCACCACTTTTGAATCGTTGGTCGGAGATGCAACCGCTTCAACCCATTTACTCACATAATCCACTGCTACAAGGATATATTGATTCCCATATGAGCTTACAAAGGGACCCATGAAGTCAATGCCCCAACGGGCGAAGACTTCTACTTCAAAGATTGGGTTTTGGGGCATTTCATTCCTTTTGGATATGTTTCCGTGCCTTTGACAAGCTTCACACCTCGAGACCACTTCCTGGGCGTCTTTGAACATGGTCGGCCACCAGAAACCGCTCTGTAGAACCTTGGCAACTGTCTTGAACGCACCTAAATGACCACCATACGATGAGTCGTGGCATTCTTGTAACACTGGATGGATCTCTTCTTCGGCCAAGCATCGCCTATAGAGATGGTCCTTGTTAAGCACGTAAAGATACGGCTCATCCCAATGATAAGTATCAAGATCTGGTGGCTCTAATCCGCAAGACAAGTAGTTCACAAGATCCGCGAACCATGGAAGGCTTCTTTCCTTGATCGTATTGGCTTCCTCCACCTCTAAGTAAGACCGGACTAACATGAGATGTTCCTCGGGTAAAGCATCATCTATAGGGACCTGTTCTTCAATCCTCAGCCTTGAGAGGTGATCTGCGGCTCCGTTTTCAATGCCCTTCTTATCAAGTATCTCCATGTAAAATTCTTGGAGCAATAAGACCCGTCTCAAAAGCCTCGGCTTAGCGTCCTTCTTAGACATCAGGTACCTCAAGGCCGCGTGATCTGTGTAAACCGTGACCTTTGATCCCACTAGATAACTCCTGAATTTGTCAAATGCAAACACAATGGCAAGCATTTCCTTCTCGGTGGTGGCATACTTTTCTTGAGCTGAGTCCAAAGTGCGGCTGGCATAGTAGATCACATGGAGCTTCTTATCTTTCTTCTGTCCCAAGACAGCACCTACAGCATAATCAGATGCATCGGTCATCACTTCAAATGGTAAAGACCAATCAGGGGCTTGTACAATCGGTGCACTGATCAAAGCCTCCTTGATTCTCTTGAACGCTTCCTCACATTCTTCATCAAAGTTGAAATCCACTTCTTTGCACAATAACCTGGTCAAAGGCCTGGCTATCTTGGAGAAATCCTTGATGAACCGTCTATAGAACCCAGCGTGGCCAAGGAAGCTTCTTATTCCTTTCACAGAATTCGGGGCTTGTAAGTTCACCATCACCTCGATCTTGGCCTTATCCACCTAGATGCTTTCTCTGATACCTTGTGTCCCAAGACAATGCCTTCTTGGACCATGAAATGACACTTTTCCCAGTTTAAGACAAGCCTACGCTCCTCACACCGCCTGAGAACCTGAGAAAGATTAGCAAGACATTCGGAGAAAGAGGAGCCGTATACGGAGAAGTCATCCATAAACACCTCAACTTTCTCTTCAATTAGATCAGAGAAAATGTGCATCATACATCTTTGAAAAGTGGCCGGTGCATTACACAAACCGAATGGCATTCTTCTATAAGCATAAGTGCCATAAGGGCAGGTGAATGTCGTTTTCTCTTGATCTCGGGGGTCTATAGGTATTTGAAAGAACCCCGAGTATCCATCGAGAAAACAAAAATAAGGATGATTAGCTAACCGTTCAAGCATTTGATCAATGAATGGTAAAGGAAAATGATCTTTTCTTGATGCAGAATTCAATTTCCTATAGTCAATGCACATGCGATAGCCGGTTATAGTTCTTTGGGCTATGAGTTCATCCTTATCGTTTTTCACCACCGTGATCCCACCTTTCCTGGATATACCCACTGAGAGTCAGAGATTGGATATATTATCCCTGCCTCAAGGAGCTTTAGTATCTCCTTCTTAACCACCTCTTTGAGGTTCGGGTAAAGTCGACGTTGGTGCTCAATAGAGGCCATGGCTTGGTCCTCTAGGTGGATCCTGTGGGTGCATATCTCAGGAGAGATTCCTCTAATGTCAGCCAAGGAATACCCTATGGCTCTCCTGAATTTCCTTATTTCACTAAGTAATGCACGTTCCTCATGCTCAAGCAAGTTATCTTTTATGATCACAGGAAAAGTAGAGTTTAGACCTAAGAATGCATACCTGAGCCCTGTTGGTAGAGGCTTGAGCTCAACAGGGGGTGCGTCTGCATCATTCCAATCGGCATCAAAGCTGCATTGGCCCGGAACAGCTTCCTCGGCCTTTGCTTCATTCTCGCGGGGTTTACCATCGGCCTCGGTATGAGTTGTCACGGCCATGATATCCCGAAGTGTCTCTTCTTTTCCCTTTGAATCCTCACTTTCTAGAATGTCGAGGCTGCTCGTGTGGAGCTCCAAAAACCTCGCCTCAGCTCCAAGTTCCCTCGGTTGGTCCAAAAGACGCTTGTACACCTCGCTTTCCTCGTTCAAGTACCCGTGCTCGCTTTGTCCCCGCGTTAAGACCACTTGTAACGGATCCTCTACGTTCAACTCTTCAAGGAGCTCATCAGCCAGCTCCTCCATTACCTCCACATAGAAAACCTGACCTCCAATGGTCGGTTTCTTCATCATTTCCTTCACGTTGAACTTCATAGTCTCGGAACCGATGTGTAGTTCAATCATTCCTCCTCTCACATCTATTATGGCTCCTGCGGTTGCTAAGAACGGTCGGCCCAAGATGATAGGGTCTAATGGTTCCTCGTCCATCTCAAGAACTATGAAGTCCGTGGGGATTTCTATCTCACCGACCCTCAAAGGTAGATCCTCAAGCAACCCCACCGGTAATCTAACCGATCTATCAGCTAATACAAGAGAGATCTTGGCTGGCTTGTAGCTTTTGTATCCCAATCTCTTGGCCACCGTGTAAGGCATTAAGCTCACAGAAGCTCCAAGGTCACATAAACAGTTTGAGAACTTCAGGTGACCTAAAGCACACGGCAAAGTGAAGCTGCCCGGATCGGATAGCTTCCTTGGTATAGATCTTCCTTGTATTATGGCACTGCACTCATGGCTCAGTATCACCATACCCTGGAGCTCCTTTGTCTTGTTGAGGATCACGTCCTTTAGAAACTTCCCAAGCTGAGGTATAGCTAAGAAAGCATCTATAATGGGTAAGGTGAGTTGCGTGTTCTCCAAGTGTTTCTCAAAGACCGCCTTGGCCTTGTCTAGGATTTTCTTTTTGAAACGCCCTGGGAACGGTATCTTGGGTTGATAAGGTGGTGGTGGAACATAGGGCTTTTCAAGCTCGGTTGTCTTTTCCACCTCTTTTCCTTTGTCCTTGATCGGTTCCTTCTCTAAGACCGCTTCTTTACACGCACCGTCTGAGGCTGCCTCCCCCTCTAATTGCTCATTGGCGTCAATGAGCTTTGTCTTAGGCGTTGGAGTTTGTAATTCCTTACCACTCCTCAATGTGATGGCGTTCACATACTCTTTAGGGTTCGGCTCCGGTTTACCTGGTAAAGCCGGGCCTCTTGATGATGTAGAAGCTTGATTCTGCTTAAGCTCGCTGATATCTTGCTGCATTGTCGCGTGCTGGCCCTCAACCCTTTGCTGGCCCTGTAACAGTTGCTGTAGTATCCCACAGACGTCGTTCCCCATTTGATTCTGACCCGTTCCCTGAATCTGTTGTTGATTACCCATCGGCTGCGGATGGAACCCTAGTGGAAACTTGTGTTGCTGCGGTTGGTTGTTGAAGTTGTTACTCTGAGCCGCTTGATTCTGCTGAGTGTAGCCGTGCTGTTGCCCACTGAACTGTTGCTTGGGCTGGAAGGTATTCTGAAAAGGAGCCTTTTGAGCATAGCTTTGATGTTGTTGTTGAGCAGGGTACACTTGGTCTTGAGGGTTAGCTACATTCGGGTTTCTGTATGAGAGGTTTGGGTTACTGTTGTAGTTGTTAAACCGCTGATACCTCTGCTGATTCCCTATGTAATTCAGCTCCTCTTGTGTTAGACCATCTTCATTAACATTGTCAAAACTTGGCCCTTGCTCATCAAACTCGCCTACAAAGTGTATTGGCTTTTGAGTCGCCATCAAAACCTTGTCAAGCTTATTCTGAAGCTCTCTTATATCCTTTTTCATGCGCTGTTCATCACTAGATCCCTCTGTACGGTTTGCTCTATCAAAGTCCTCTCCATACGTGTCATTGGACATGGCTAGGTTCTCAACTAGTTCCATTGCCGCAGTGATCTCTTTTCCAAGAAAATTCCCATTTGAAGCTGTATCGAGTTGGTTTCTGATCTTAGGGAGTGCACCTCGGTATAAAGTACTCAAGAAGGATGCCTCTGAGAAGCCGTGGTGTGGGCATTGGTTAGTGTAGCTTCTAAACCGTTCCCAAGCTTCACTAAAGCTCTCGTTATTGTGCTGCGTGAAACTTGAGATCTGATCCCTGACCTTAGCCGTGCGTGATGTGGAAAAGAACTTTGATAAGAACGCCAGTTTACACTGCTCTCAGGTTTGTATAGAACCCCTCGGTATATTCTTTTCCCACTGGTGTGCTTTATCACCGAGGCTGAAAGGGAACAAGCGTAGCTTGAAGCTATCTTCGGAGACGCCATTTATCTTGGTTAAGTCGCAAACCCGATCAAATTGATCTAGATGCTCGAGAGGGTCTTCTCCAGCCCGACCGTGGAGCTTTGAGTTTTGCACCATATTGAGCAGGGAAGCTTTAACTTCAAAGTTGTTGTTTTGAACTGGTGGAGCTTGAATCCCAGCTCGGTATTGGTGCGCATTAGCTCGGTCATTCTCTCCAACACAGATTGGAGGATGTTGTCTCTGAACTTGGGGCGGTGGCGGATGAACATGATGGGCTTGTTGTTCATTTCTATTCGCTTGGTGTTGGTTTTGCTGAGCAAGCCGTTCGTTTCTTTGAGCCTGTTGCTGATTAACATAGGCTTGTTGTTCATTTCTTACTGCCTGCGCCTGATTAGCCTGAGCCTGGTGCCCGGCTGCCTGAGCCTGTTGCTCCATTCTCTGTTGTTCTGCCATTCCAAGTCTGTCAAAGTGCCGTTCTCTCTCGCGAGCTCGCCTTTCTAATCTGTCGATGTTATCGTCGTATGGGAAAAGCGATCCTGTGCTCCGAGACCTGGTATTCATGCACCTGAAAACAAAACAAGAACTTGGAAAGAAGTTAGTAAAACAAAGGAAAGAAAAGCTTGAACTCAAGAACAAACAAGAGCCTAATGCTCCTACAAGTTGGCAACGGCGCCAATTGATAACTAAGAGTTTTCAGGCTCTTAGAAGGGTTATCAATCCCCTTGGCAAAGTAGTATAAGGGGTGTCAAACCAAGCTTGTAAACGAGACACTAGCCTATATCATTTGTTCACTTAAGTCAAGACAAGATGATAAAAGTTTGGTGACGATGATTAACAGGCAAATGAGCAATAAAGTTAAATAAAAGCAGAGATTTAAACTAATCAAGATGCAAATAACAAACAGGTGATTCAGATGATGGTAATGAATGATAAAGGCAGAAGCTTTAGACAGGATATTTGACTCGGGTGCTTCCAAGTTAGACTAAGGGGCTAATGAATCATTTTATCAAGCGATTTCATTTGACTTTGAACTCAAGGCACGTTAATCTTCTCATGAAAGTATTAAATGTCTAAACTGATCCTCTTTCATACCAAAATCCCTTTTGAGAAGCACGAATCAGTCAGCAATACGAATCGGTTCAAAAACGTCATTTAAGAGAACAAACTATCACTCTCGCGATGAAAGACTCTTAAACCCTTAACCGAGTGGTTCAGACATTTCTACAAACACTTCTGATGCGAGATATGTCTCAGATCTGAACCTCAAGTGATGTGCTTGGATCCAGCTTAGAGATCTCGTCGGTTAAGGAATGAAACATGCAAGACGTGTAGCTAGTCATGATAAGGAGTTTGATGTTCGATGATAAAAGAAATAAAGAAAGAACAAGATTCTGATGCAAAAACGAGATATCGGATAAGATTAATCAAGTTTCACAAAAGAGGCAAGTTCTTAGAGCTAAAAACAGATAAGAGATAAGATAACTAGGTTTTTAGTCTCAAAATGTATTTATAGCAAAGGGAAAGTGTCGCGGGTCAGCCCGGAACAAACCGGATACTGAACCGCCTTCTTGGGTTGATGGGTGAGTGCCACGGTGTGTCGGAAAGTGAAGCCGAGGTCTTCATGCCGAGGCGTGCACGTGAGTCAGGATCCAGATGAAGATCTCGTGAAGAACACATCAAGAACATGCATGAACCCTAGTCTTTGATCTATCCTCACGTGTATGTTCTTGAGCCATTCTGTTCTTGATTCTGGGTTCGTGACAAGGGACCTCGGGATAAAATGTCGAGGGGTCATGATGTCGAGGTGCTTGGGAGAACACAGTCCGGCATGCACGCCGAGGTCATTACACCGAGGTGTACTTTCAACACTTAGTCGTTTCCAGCTTCAGTTCTTACGTATGCATGCCTCGATCTAACCATGCCAAGGCTTTGGCACGAGGTCTAGTCCAGAATACTTCCAAGATATGAGCCTCGACTTGAGTGACGCCAAGGTAAAGATACCGAGGCTTGTGAAAATACTTAGCGCGTATCGCAACTCTTTTAGGCTTGTATCGACCATGTCACCTTTCGGAAGCAGTAACTTTCAGCACAGGACTCCAATTGCTCTGGGAACAGTTCCACAGTCAATATGACTCAATAAGGTCGAACTTTGGTGAAGAAACCATCGGAGCTTGGGGAGTGGAAGGCTTCCTGGATTTAACATCTTTGCGCCGCATTGAAATCACCGGAAAATAGACTTTTAGACCGATGTGAACTCCGGAGACCCTATCTTCCAAACCTTTGCTCCGAATTGAGCGATTCCAAATGCTCTGAGAAGATCTTCCATGGATCTCGAACTTTGGTGAAGATCGGGTAAGCTGGTTCGGTCTGGAGGGGCTCCGTCCGCCATGATCTTTGAAGTTCGCCGTTCAGTTCTCGGGTACGCGCAATGCTGGTGAATGCTCCGGAAGCCATATCTTTCTCTCCACTGGTCCGAATTGGATGATTCCAACTGTTCTGGAATCTTTGCTTGATTATCTCCAACTTTGGTGAATACCCCTCCAACTGATTCGGACCGGAAGGTTCCCCGGATTGCTGATCTCTGAATTGCGCGGGCAAGGACAACTTTTGGTCGTAAAAACCTTCCCGCGGTAAGAAAAATGGCCGAGGGCTGTGTACCGCGGTAAGCTTTTTGGTCGTAAAAATTCTTGCCTCGGTCAAAAACTTGTCCCGTGGTATTTTTGCACTCGATACTCGATTCTGGCCGATCGGTAAGGTTTTTGGCCGGTAATGAGTGACTGGTAAACATTTTGGCCGAGGTTTCCGACCAGCCGGTACGAGATTTGGCCGAGAAATTCCTCCAAGCGGTTTTCACCATTTTTGACCCTTGTCTTCACCGTTTTCTTTTCTGTTCCTCTTCTTAGGCTCCAATTGGTCTCCAAAGCTCCTGATAAAGACTTCAAAACATGCAAAACTCTTTGGGACCTAATGCAAGCCCTAAGTCCTATTTACATGAGAAAACACACGATGAGGACTCTATAATGCATTCTAAATGATGTAAAATATAGACATATCATGAACTCCTAAACTAAGACAAAAGATCGTGCATCAATTCACAAATTAGTCTAGAAAATTCTCATCAAAATACAAGTAAAACTAGTCCGTTAATCCGTCTTGCGAAAATATACACACTTCGATCTAACTTCCAGTCAACTAGCTCTTTACATTCATTAAGTATATTGGTGAATTCTCATCAAAGGCATTATTCAGGGTAGACGGCGTTTGGCAGTAAAGGCTATTTAAGTGGTGGAGTTAAAGTGTTTCGGGTTACCTGAAGATCTGGAGGATGCAATATATTATGCAAAACCGCAAGAGAGAGAAGGACCTGTTGAAAATGTTGCTACATAATCTTCCTCCTTTGTTGTAAACAGCTGTTCTCCCAGACTTATATCTTTTCCGGGAATCATAACGATAATCTCCAAAACTCCAAATAATTGAAATCAAGCTTGCCTCAAGTATAAAATCCGATCCTCCTAGACTCTCTAAGGTTTTAAATTTCCTTTCACTTCTTATTTTTCTTTTCTTTTTTGTTTTTTTTTTGTTTTTTTTTTATTTTTTTTTTTGTTTTTTTTAATAGAGAGAGAATCTAAGGGACGAAATTGTACCAAGATTTTGAAGTTTTTCCAAAGGCAAACTGAATTTTTTCCTTTTGTTGAATCATTCCAATGAAATCGCAGGCCTTCGTCTTCAGTGACTAAAAACCGCGTTGATCCTCTTTCTCTCCAACGTTTTTGCACATATCTGCATATAGAACAATGAAAAACAAGAATGCATGTGGTTTGAAAGAGGTTAGGTTCGGTTGGGAACTAGCTAAAGATGAACTAGCCATTCAGGATCAACAAAGAGTGGTAGAAGGGTAAAGGAGTCCTGAATGTATGATTTGTTTCCCTGATCTAATGCTTTAATGAGAAAATTAAGTCAAAATTAAGTCCAGATAAGATGAGCTAGTATATCCTGTCAGAAAGAATCTCCATGAATAGGAGTCCTTTGGTGGGAGTTTGTAATGCAAGTATTCTAGCTACTGCCTAGTCTAGGCCTAAATCACAAAAAGAGCAAAAAACGAGGAAATAGCGTAGAAGCACACTGGTCTAATTCATCATAGTAATGTTTATTGTGTTCCTGGTTTGAAAACTTTTTGAAAAAAATTTTGAAAATTTTTTTTGAAATTTTTTTTTGAAAAACATTTTATGTGTCCAAAACAAACTCAAAACAAATCAAATTTCATTATGACGGATGAACATCCTAAAAACTTGATTGCGATTTGTAAACGGGGTATTGGTTTGTTTTACTAAGTTTCAGGTTTTAAATTTATAACCCCTAAATGTCTGCAAGTGCACAGATGTGCGCTGTAGTACTTAGGGTATCGATCCACAGAGACTTAGTTGTTTCAGTACGAATTCACTACAATGCTTAAATCAGACTAGAACTAAACAAATTGGGTTTTGGTTTTGGGTTTTGGTAGTCACTAAATCTAAACTAGAAAGCTAAACAAGTAAAAGCAAATAAAAACGAAAGCAAGTGTAAGCAAGTAAAAATCGGTTATGAATGAAAGCAAGTAACAAGCGAATAAAAGCAGAATGGAAATCTAAGGTTGTAAGCAATGAAAGGCAAACGTTGGGGCTCAAGGGGTTTCGCAGGGGTTTATGGACTAAGCTATGTCGATTTTAAACAAGTGATAAAGGTAATCAACTACGTATGTTCTAGAACTCGAGGCATGGAAGTATGAATAGCCTACTTTCGCAGCACTAAACAACTATCTCTCGCAACCCTGATCAGTAGGTTTCCACTCTGATCCTGGAAGGGAGAAGATGCAATAGCAGAAC